TTGCCTATGTTACAACCCCTCCCTATGACGCAGGTTGTTGTGCATTGTATTGCCCCTCTCTGTGATGCATGATGCTGTGATGTATCCCCCTAAAGCAATATGATGCGTGGTTAGCAATAAATAAGGAGGCTCCCTGGTTCTCAGGAGGGTGGCTGGCCGAGGGTGGCTGAGGAGGGAGAGCTGCTTCCCATGAGGGGCGGCTCCCATGAGGGCAGTGGATGAGAGGGCTGCTCCCGCTAGGGAGGCGGCTCCTGCTCTGGCAGTTGGGTTCCCCCCACGAGGACCAGCCTTTATTGCCGTGCCCTCTCCAAACCATTCCACCCCCATTAACATAAGCTCAATGCCCCCTGGGCAAAACCGCTACCCTCGTCACCATTATGGTAACCATAGGTCAAGTTTGGTTTCTTTGGTTTTTTTAGTACTTTTCTTTAAGTGATATTCATAGATCATACTCTTCCTGAGTTAAATCGCTTTTTTAAAAGAGTTGCATATACATCACCACAATCAGTTCTAATGCTCCTCCTCCCACCCTCCTCACTTCTCTGAAGATCACAACTACCGTTTTCTTTAAGGGCGAGACCTGCTGCGGAAACCTGGGTGATTAGCGCAGAGAGAGCAGGTCTACGTTGATAAAACTACGAGCAGATAACCATGGGTGACCAGCCATCTGAGGGGCGTCAGACGTGTAGGCAAAGCAGCAGCAAGAAGAACAAGCTGAGCCGAGAAAGCAGAGGTAACTCGGGGAGCAGGGGAAATGTGGCAGGAAATACTCCTTTGTGCCCTTGGAGGTATTTGGGAGGCGATTGTGTTTGTAAAACAAACAGGCAAAGTCACAGCCTAAGACTGACAGCGAACTTGAACAGAAACGCAAGTGCCCGAGACACTGCTTCGCTCGTGTGTTCCTGGTAAACAGCGGTGGCGAGATGCAATGAGATGTGCACGGGACGGGGCACAGGGAAAGAAGTGGCTCTGCCCAAACAGAGCGGTGCGCGGCAGGTGGTGCGGCCGTGGGAGACGGCAGATGGCTCATTAAACTGCAAGTGTATGAGATTCCAGATTCGGTGTGGGGAAGTCATTGTAGGGGTGGTGTGTGAAAATCGCGGTGCATAAATGTTGACTATGTGAAAGCAAGGAACCACCTGTGTCCGCATTCCATTTGGCTTTCCCTGGATTTAGTAATATTATTTTTTTAAGATCATTTTATTAACAGCTCTTATAACAATCCACACATCAATTGTAACAAGCATATTTGCACATATATTGCCATCATCGTTTTCTAAACATTTACTTCCTATGCGAGCCTATGGTATCAGTTCCTCTTTTTTCCCTCCCTCACTGCCCCCCCCCCCAGTAATATAAATCTTTTATCTTGAACTTTGGGCCACCATAATAATAATACCTATGTACAACTTTGGAGTTTACAAAACACTTCTACTAATTATGATATGTAATCCTTAGTCTGGGGAGAAGCCAAATATTGCTATGTTTGTATCTATGCCTCCTCCCCCTCCCCCAAATATAAAGCCTAATCAAAAGGGAAACTGCAAGCTCTCCCAATGGATATTTTGGAGGCTATGATCCCATGAGATCCAAGTTCAGTGCTGCCGAGTTGATTATGACTCATAGCGCCCCTATAGGACAGAGTAGAACTGCCCCATCGTTTTCCAAGGCTGTAAACCTTTATGGAAGCAGACTGCCTCGTCTGCCTCCTGCTTTTTGGTTAGCAACACAATGCCTAACCCACTGCACCAGCAGGGATTCTTTCTCAGAAGACAGTGGCTCCCAAAATTTTGAGTGCATCGAGCTCACAGATGGCCACTCCCAGTCTAGGGTTTCTAGTCCAGTAAATCTAGCGTGTAGTCTGGGAATTTGCATTTCTCACAAATTCCCAAGTGCTGCGGCTGGTCCAGGGACCCTACTCAAGAACCACGATATACAATGCTCTCTGAAGAAAGGGCTACATGGTCAGATTGAGATATATTTATTATGTAATAGAAAGCAAAATCGCTTCGCTCTCTAAGAGGAGGAAATATGTGCATCATCATACTGGAACAATAGAATTATGAGTGAATTTTACTTTAAAAATGCCACGACTTTCTTTTCTCTTAAACCAAAATGATTTCAAGAGGAAAAATACTATGTTCTTAAATTTAGCTAAATAAAAGATTAATTAGCAAAGTTTTAAAATTTATAAATTATTTATTTCTCACAACTGTGGGAAATGTGTTTTATTTTATTTTGTTCTTAAAAATTATTTTGGGAAATGTGTTTGATGGACAATCTTATGTTAATTATAAGTATTACCAGACGGGGCTGTCCCGGAATTTTTACAGTGAAAATATTGAAATTGTCAAGGATTTAATTTTACTTGGACCTACAAGTAATGCTCCCGGAAACAGCAGTTAAGAAATCAAATGATGAATTTGCACTGGGCAGGTAGATCAGCAACATAATACCTCTTTAAAGTGTTAAAACGCCAATATATCACTTCAAAGACTAAGGTGAGCTGGACCTCAGCCTTGGTCTTTTCAGCCACCTCGGCTGCATGTCAAAGCCGGACCCTGCCTAAGGAAGAATGAAGAAGACTTGGTGCCTTGGTATTACGGCATTGATGGAGGGTGTTAAACATGCCACAAAATGCCAGAACAAACAACGTGTCTCCGAGGAAGTACAATCGTTCTGATGCTGAGAAGCGAGGATGGCAAGGGGGTGTCTCATAGTCTTTGGATACGTTCTGCGGAGAGATTAGCCCTTGGGGAAGGACATCCCGCTTGGTAAAGTAGAGGGGCAGCAAGAATGAGGCAGCTCCTCAATGAGCTGCGTGGGCACGGTGGTTACAACCCTGGGCTGACACAGCACTGATTATGAGCATGGCTTCTGGGCAGGCTTCCTTCTCTTGTACATAGATAGATAGGGGCGCTATGAGGATGGACCTGCTAGAGGGCACCTAACCATAGCAGCTACATCTTTAGAGTTTAAGTTTGCTGCTCATTCTTACTTTATGTATTTATTTTGTATTTTGATAGTAAGAATATTATTTTTACAATCAGGAAAATAAAGCTGTAATTTTTAAAATGATGTATAGAGATTGTAGAAATCTTGTTTCTAATTTTACCTAGGATGCTTTTTTAAAGCCTACCTGTAAAAAATGTGCTGCCACTTTTGTACAAGCAATCTTTCTAAAAGAATCACACTTTTCTTGTAACCTAGTTCATATAATAGGCAATTTGGAGCTATTTACTAGTGCAAAAAAAATGAATTATGCCATTAAATCAACTAGCATCAAATTACCATATTTCATTGTATATAGGCTATAATTAAGGCAAGTCTAAACAAGACTAGTCTTTTCTTTCTTTTTGTCCCTGCTTCCCATAATAATCTAGTTCATCAACTTGCTGACTTCTTTTATGTGTTCTACCCAGCTGTGTGAAAACTGCCCCCAGGTAATACAGCTTGAAAACAGGCCATTCTCGGCCGCCCATACCGAACAATAAATGGCTTGTTTATTTCAGAGAGGCATTGGTAAACCCATGCATGTTGTGATACGTTGATTGCAACAACCCCATGCTAGAAGAATGGCTCCTGGAATGCCCGTTCGTACTGCACACATTTTGGTCTAGGGAAAATAGTCCCAGCAGGAAAGGAATGAATGAATAGCTCAAACATTAGCTGCATTAAAGTTAGAAACAAGATACATTTTCCAAAAAAGACTCAACATGCTTATTTGCAAGAGGTGGCTTCAGTCACACTGGGGCTTTTGAAAACGAAACCAATTGTTTATACTGTGCTCCTGTAAATACTTCTGCAAAGTGAGTATATGGGAGGTCTGTACGCATTCTACGATTTTTCCTGGAAACCTAAGCCTGCTCTAAAAATGATAGTCTATGAAAAAATACCCTATCTTGATTGAAGGAAGGTATATACATGGCGGATAAGCACCTGAAAACATGCTCAATGTAATTAGTCAACAGAAAATGCATATCAGAACCAGAATGAGATGCTACTTATCCACACTGGGAAGGTGATTATTAGGAAAAAATGTTAAACACTAGTGCTGGCAAGGGCATAGAAACATTGAATCCTCATCTATTTCTGGTGGGAATGGTTCAATCATTGTGAAAAATTGTTTGGTGGCTCCTAAAAAATATAATCATAGAATTGCCATATGACCCAGCAATTCTAGTCCTAGGTATGTATCACCCCCCAAAAGAAAGAGATTCAAAGAGATACTTGCACACCAATGTTCATTGCAGCATTATTCACTAGAGCCAAGAGGTGACAACAAATCCAGTGTCCATCAAGAGATGAATAAGCCAAGCCAAACCAACTCATTGCCATCGCATGGATTCTGACCGATCGTAGAGTGTAGAACTGCCCCTGTGAGTTTCTGAGGCTGTAACTCTTTTGTTGTTGTTGTTTGTTTTTTGAGACTAACTTTAAAAAAAAAATTTTTTTTGAGACTAACTTTTTTACGGGAGTAGAAAGCCCCATCTTTCTCTCGTGGAGCGGCTGCTAGTTTTGAACTGCTGAGCTTGCAGTTAGCAGCCCAACTGGCAACCCCGACGCCACCAGAGCTCCTGTAGCAGATGAATAGATACACACATTGTGATATAGCCTGACAGTGTAGATACATAACGAGGAAAGAAGTTCTGATACCACAGCATGGATGAGCCTTGACATTTTGCTGAGTGAAATAAATCATACATTAAAGAACAAAGAGTTTATTCCACTTATTTAAAATTCCTAGGAAAATGATAGAATAAAAGTTTAGTCAGGGTCACCAAAGGCTAGTAGGTGGGGAGGGGACAGCAGGATGCCATTCATTGCCTGAGGAGAATGGCTTTCCTGTTGGGGGTGATGAAAACACGGTGACAATGGCTGTACAACAGAGTGGATGTAATTAATGTGATGGAATGGTACAATTTAAACAGGGCAAATGGAATTATATGTTTTTACTACAATAAAGTTTTTAATATTTCAGTTAATAACGTATAGGTTGTACATCTGTTAAGTGCCCAACCCTGTAAGATCTATGAAAAGTTTCCTGTCATAAATGAACTTCCATTTAAATTGGTTGAGATAAAACATACGCACGTGACACAAGAAGAGACAAATAGAAGATAATATAAATAAATGTGGTAAGTTACATAATTTCGTGTCAACTTGATAAATAAAGTGTAGGTAGGGGAGGAGTTTAGCCTATAAATCAGGTTGCACTTGGTGACCTCATTTGGAAGCTCAACCAAGCTAAATAGCTCACTGGAGCCTCTCTCTCTGCCTTCACCTTCATGCCCGTGAGCCATGCTGAGACCTGTGAGGGCCCTGGAGACGCGTCCACCCGCATCTCGGTGCACCTCAGGACTGTGCACCCGCCTGCTGGTGATCTTCCAGCTTTTTGCACCATTGCTTGTGGTTGTTTAAGCCTGAAGGGGGATTCATGGACTAGTATCAGATTTATGGACTAGATCTGGACTGGACTGGGATGTGTTCCTACTATACAATTAATTCTTGATACAAAGCTCTTTCTTACACAGAAATAAGTGTCAGTAGATTGTTTCTCTAGTCAGCCCAGCCTCACGTAATAAGTGACTTCGTGAAGTTAGCCCAGGGAGCCAGGAAAGGAAGGATGGCTCAATCCTCTTCAAGCCGTGTAAACACAACTCTAGCAGAGCAGCGAGAGTTCTGAATGTTTAATGGGTTACTCACTGCCATTGAGTCAATGCCGGTGCACAG